AATAGAAAAAATAAATTGATTTCATATTTATCTGTGCCTCATTCGGAAATTTGACCTAGATTGAGCTGCGGTATTAACCTATTACGGTTTAAAAAAGCATCAAATAGTTTAACTTTAAATGCTCGGAGGCTTCTGTATTTTACGCAGGAGAATTCTCTACTCAAGTTACGTAAAACGAAACGCAAAAAAGTTTTAGGACAACACAATGAGCAGCACCAGAGCTGAATCCACGCCTATTTTTCTAACGAATTTTTTCTAACATTTTCTTTCCAAACCGCCACTCCATCAAAACAGGAAAGTTTCGATACAATCGGTCAGAAAACAATGGCCGCGTCTAAAATTGTTATTCGAATAAAAACTCCGGCATCAAAACTCGCGGTAGTTTTGCAGAAATACGAAAACGATATTCAGTTTCGAATTTCGAATAAAATTCGAATTGAAACATTCGTGACGGTTTAATTCTTTATTTTTTTAAATATTTTTAAATGCATGGCTGATTGCGGCCTTGTTTCAATGCGTTTTGGTATGTAAATTCGGCTGATATTATTATGAAAATATTTGATAGTCTGTCTTTACATTAATTGCTTTATATAGCTTTTATTTTAAATATTAGTGTAGGTATTCTGAAAAAAATGTGTGAAAAAAATGTGTAAAATATTGTGGTTTTTACATAGCCCAACTATGTTATTACTATACTAGTTACCTAATCAAATGAGTAGGACTATTGTGTAAAAAACTGCATAGAATTAAATGGAAAATACCTACATATAAAATACGTACCTAGTTAACATTCTTAAATAAGAATAGATATGAATTAGTAATACACGTTTCGTTGATGTCAAAAAGTCCGGGTAAATCCACTAAGATTTGTTCCTCGCAGGAATCGATCCCGCAACCACAGCTCATGTTCTAGTCCAACCTTCTTACCACCAGGCCAGATGGCTTACAGATATTAAAGAAATCGTATTACTAAGCCGACCTAGAAGCGTTCTAGACAGAACACCATCTGATGTAAGAAAAGAAATAGAACGATTCGAAGTCGTATAAAATAATAATTAAAATGTTGCCAGTCACGAACGGAAATCCTCCCTGAAAAGGCGTGACCATTTGCTTCGCTAATTTCCCCTTTTAGATTGCTGAGAAATTGCAAATGTCAAAGTAAACGGTGGAATTACTAGCGACGGTTTCCAGAAATAACTCTTTAAGGGCGATGCTGCTCAAAGTTTTGTAGCTAATTTAATTTAGTAAATTCAATTTTAACAAGGTAATTAAATACACAAATTGCGTATTCTTGTTTTCTTTATTTGGAACGGTAAACAAACCATGTTTTTTATGCAGAACAAGTATTTGACCGCAATCGCACCTGTGTGCTTACCATGAGTTTACGTTAGGTGTGCTCGCTAGCGAATACGTCAAAAAAATCTATGAAGATTTTATTTCTTGAAAGTAGCCGCTAGAGGCGCTGCACAATAATGTCATACATTTAATGTCGTTTTTTTACGCAGTCGCTAGCGAGCACACCAAACCTAAACTCATGGTAAGCACACTGATGTTAAGTGAGATGCTGTCTAGGATGGTACATATTTTATTATTATCTGCCCTGTAAGTGCTTATTGGCTCTCGCCTTGATAGAGTTATTATCAATATAATTCTAGGATTATCCACATTGGATGCGGTCAGGTCAAAGTAAACGCAGCCCGGCATGTGTGATTGACTTGACCGCAAATTGCATTCAAGCAAGTGCGCAAGTGTGATTATGTCCTTTAAAGTTTTGTAAGTTTATGTTTATAATTCCGGTGCATTCTTCTTAGTGTTTCATTTCATCATCATTCATGTTTTTCTCGAAGCACTGGTAGGGCCCAAATTATGAAAGTATTAGTAGCGTAGAGTTCCCAAGTATTGTTAAAAATTATCAGTATCGTGTACTGTTCCAAAATGTGTAAAGCTTATTTCTCTGAAGATCTATTTGTTGCAATGCATTGTTTTCCAATTAACTTTATTTTCCTTCCATTTTCCGTAACCTAAGTTTGAAGAAGAAAGTTTTAAATACCTCACACGATCAGTAATACAATATTACACCTACATCACACCTAACCTAATCTAACTCCCCAGGAGTCCGGGGTAATCTGTACCCCGCTGTGGGGTAAATTGATTTTGAGATAGAGAAAACTTATTAACTACGTATAAGATACAAGCTCAAACATCTAATACTCTACTAAATAGTAGAGCCGTAATGAAATGACCCACAGCGATAATTATACTCTCTCCTTGTCTGTACCTCTAGCATGAACAACTTTCGTCTTCGAATCGTTTGCGTATTCGATAAAATTCGATACTCAATCTTCGAATTAAACGATAACGTGACAATTTTGATTCTCAAAATAATTTTCGTGCAACCACATCTCATACGAGTACTAAGTTCACTTTACGACACGTTCACAATGGCGCTGTTGTAGTTAACAGTGTAGTCTACGTCCTGTGTTCCAGACCTAACACAAATTTTAAAGCTGCCAATAATTAAAAAAAAAAATGCTGTTTCCGAACGCACCCTGCAAACGTCATTACGGTTTTTGAACTGTCTCGGACAAGGACCTTCGTATAATTAAGATTGAACGTCGCTTACTGGTAAGCTAGTTTAATCTCATAATTATTAGTACAATTAACATTTCACTACCGGTGTTCGCGACTTCGTATTGTTACACCTTGAAAATGTTGGCTAAACTGCTGTATTGCCATCCTAACCTGCAGAGTCAGCATTTTCACGATGCAGCGAGCCTGAACCTCCAGTTCGGAGGCGCAGTTCAGACCGGGCATCCATCCAGTAAGGACCTCTAACTTTCGGGCATTCAAAATAGAGTCAGTTCGGATATTCAAAGTAAAATTCTGTGTTAAAAGTAAACGTATTTCAGTTAATAAAAAATAATTGTTTTTTAAAAAGACATTTTAATATCCCGTCATAACATTGGTGTCAGCGAGAAGGGATGTAAAAGTACATCTCAAGGACGTCTCCAAGTGTGCAAAAATAATCAGCAGTGCCACGCATCCAACATCGTCATCACCCGAACTATCATAGCCCAGTGTCCGTCATCATCATCATCGTCGTCATCATCGTCGTCATCCCGGTTTGGACTCATCATCATCCAGAGGCCGGAAGTATCCCGGTTCATCCAAAGCCGAAATTATCCCGGCTCTCCAGTGGTCGCGCATCGCTCTTCTATATCCCGCTGTATCCTGCTCTGCAAGTCGTGTCTACGTGTCCAGTGTCAACGAGTTCAACTACAGTGTTCCAGTTCCAAGGTCAACACTTCGAATCCCGTTTAGTGCATCGTAAAATGAAGTGCATCATCCTGTGAGTTAAAACAACTTTTTATTTACTTCGGTTCAAGATCTAATTCAGTGATAAATTCAACAACATCCAGTGAATAATTTTTAGAAAAATAACTATATCATAGCATTAACATTATTCATTAGAGTAACAACATATTAAATTAAACTTTGTACTTAATTAATATCTGTTCCTGTAAGTAAGTGTTAGTCAAAACAAGCGTCGCCTCGTCCGGCGCCCACGCATTCACATACCTTCGTTATCGCTGTACTCGCCGCTCGCAGTGTCTTCAAACCAGGTGGCTAAATTAAACAATATTTTTATACAGGGTCTCTTCGTAAATTTATTTTGTTTGTGTGTCGGTTTTTATTACAGATTTTCCTCGTGAATTTTACGTAATCATTCAATTATTGTGCTCTTATATTATCCACAATTCCTAAATCCTGTAAGGATACAAACAAAGAAGTCTACGAAATCCTAACTGATCCTACAAAAAAATCGTTACCACATGTGCTAATCCAAACATCAGTATCTGATATACCTCTATGTCTACTAGTTGACTCAGGTTCTTCCATCAGTCTTTTGAAAAGAACTTCAATTCTAAATCGACCCAAAATAATCAGAGAACCTATTCAGATCAAAGGAATTGATCCTGTAGAAAAACCAACTCCAACTCTTGGACATCTAAATTTAACTCTTTATTTGTCTGATAAAATCCCTTGTAATTATATTAATTACAAATTCCACATAGTTAAAGATATTCACCTCCCCTACGATGGAATCATTGGAAACGATTTCCTCAGCAATTTAAAATGTAATATTAATTACAACAAAAATATCCTTATGATCAATCAATTCAATTTGAATCTTTACTTCAATGACCCCGTGTACGTGATTCCACCACGATCAGAAACCGTCATTGAATGTTCCGTATTAAATCCAGATGTAAAAGAAGGACTTGTTCTTGACCAACATATTTCTGACCAATTGTTTGTTGCAAATTGTGTAACAAAAGTAAAACAAAATCACAGAATCAATATTTCAATTTTGAATACATCCGAAAACCCAACAACCGTTAACTCGAACCTGAAACTAAAACTTACTCCCTTGGAAGAACCTATCAAAGACAATGTCNACCTACAGTCACAAAGAATTTAAAACCAAAAACAGTTAAGTTTCAAGAATATGTAAAAACAAAGGAAGAAAATAAGAAGAAAATGAAAGATTACTATGACAGGAAAACTAGAACATTACCAGAACTACAAGAAGGAGATAAAGTCTATTTTAAGAAAATGCCAGATACTCCATGGATCACAGGTACAGTAAGATCTAAATGTGATCAGCCTAGATCTTATACTGTTGAAGGGCCTGATGGATTTATAGGAAGGAGAAACAGACAACATATTTTGAAGCCTCCGCAGTCACCTCAAACTGTATCTCAAGAGATGATAAAAAGAAGTCCAGATGTCGATACATCTCCAACATCACATACAGTGTCACCGTCTATTGAAGAGCATACAACTCCAGGTACAAGGCGCTCTAGGTTTGGAAGAGTTATAAGACCCCCAAGACGGTTAGATTTATAATTTAAGTTACTGTTTAATAAACATAAATTGTGTTAGTGACTGTGAAGGACTGATATAATGTTAGTAATGTCTGATGTTTAACTTTAATGTAGAGTGTCTGTTTAAGTCTATTTAAAGAGTATAATACTTATATTTTATTCCAACAAATTGTCATATTTTGTATTACATAAACAAGTCTTATGTTATTTGTCAAGTCTTTAATAATAATAAATAAAAGTTGTAATAGTAGTCAAGTCTGTAAAACTGTATCAATCTGTAAAATTAAAATATTTTACTTTTTTCTAATAAGGAGGATGTTATGAGAATAGTCACATCACTAGTGTTACGCACAACACTATCTCTTAAGATGGCGTCATGCTCCATTGTCTTTGGTCTTTGGTCGTCGTCTTACATTGGTTGTACTGAATGTAATGTATTTCATAATACTGAATAAACTCAAGTCGCTTCACAATATAGTCTTTCACTCATACACCAAACACTACAAAATGGTAATATTGAAACTCCTTCCATTAAGACGTTGTAGGTGACGTGAAAACCAGATGAGGACGCGGTGTTGGTGCTAGAGGTGGCCATTTCATCGTCGTCGCTATCATCACTTAAACTTTCATCATTATTTGAGTCAGAATCATCATCCCCTACGCGAATAATAAATGTTTCTGTCATGATGTCGACCACATGATCGCTTTTAGAATAGTCGGCCTCGATTTCCTTTACCTTTGTGCATAATTTCCCCCATTCTGTTGCGCCCATTAAATTTACTTTTTCGTTAACCAGGTCAGTTATCCGTGTAAGGTTCCAACTTACATTTTTGCTGGCGACATATCCCTTTATTTGGGACCAGGCCATTTCAATTGGATTTAAGTCCGGATGATATGGAGGCAAACGAAGTACAGAATGGCCTGCTTCGTTCAATATCTCATCAATACTAAATTTCTTAAATTGCTCTTTATATTTCTTTATTAAGTTGTACAACTCCGGCTTTAACATGTATTCTTCATATTCAATTCCTTTTTGACTGAGCCAGGTTTGCATATCTGCTTTCTTTGTATTGGACGCTGGTGCAGCATCAAGTTGTTTGTTGTGGTACGATGCATTGTCGACTACCACGACTGAATTAGGCGGCGGTAAATTCGGCATCAGTTTAGTACGGAGCCATCGCTCGTAATTCTCTGAATTCATGTTGTCGTGGTAGTCGCCGCTTTTTGTACCGGCTTTGAATGTCAGCAAAGCATTCGGCACAAAACCTGCTTCACCACCCGCGTGCTCTATGACCAATCGGCTACCTTTAGATATTGGTTTTTTAATGCCTTTGGTGGGACCGTCTGTCCAAGAATGGTGAGATGCATGGGAACTGTCGACATAAGATTCATCAGTGTAAATGATAGGTCTTCCTTCCTCTCTATATTTTTTGATCTTTCTCAGATATTCAATTCTTTGAAATCGAATTTGTGACTGCTCAATTAAAATTTTCCTATTCGTTTCTGTTGCTTTCCATTTAAACCCCAAATTTTTTATTATTCGCCTGAGACTTGCTGCAGATCCTTGAAAATGTAGGTCATCCTGTAACTTCCTTCGCAACTTGCCTATGGTAGGCAATTCTTTTTCAGTGATGTGGAAATTATGGATGATTCTTTTTATAACACCCTGATCAAAGCTATCAATGCCTGTTATTGGTTTTTGTTTGTTTCTTTTATTTTTGCCGGGAGTTCTAAAGACAGTAAGAAATTCTGAAGATTTTGATTCTTTTACAATTCGTCTCACTGTAATCACGGAACTAGAGATTGCAAAATCCGGATTTTTCTTAAATCCGGTTTTCCGGATTTGTGTTACGTACAAATCCGGATTATCCGGATTTTTCGAATATTGGGTAAATTTTTTAAACCATCAATTTAATTTAAATAAATCGTAGTTTTTTTCAAAAAGATGTAAGTATTTGAAGAAAAGCGTTTTATTTTATTATCGCGCATGGAATTTATTCCTCTTTTTTTCGGTTTGCGCTACAAGCTTTCGAAATTATTTGAACCTTGCATTATTTTTTTCGTTTTAGTACAAATGCATTTCAGAATAAAAATTTGCTTGTACCTACTTATAAAATATTTTTTTTATTCTTCTTCTTGTCGTGTCGACAACAAACCTACACAGCGTCAGCCCAAAACTCCGCCACAAGAGTGGCGTTGTCAGTAGCCTTCATTAAATCTTCCTGCGTGCAGTTGTTTGGGCACGCAGGGCACGACATCATGTGTTTCGTCGACTGGGGAACAAAACCACACTTGCACTCCAAGTTTGATCCATCTAAGAATCCCTACCTGACACCTGAACAGATTGTCCTTACTACGGCAGACCTGTCTGAAGTCTATAAAGATTTCCAGGTAGGCCAGGGGAGCTCATTTTTTTATTATAATTTTATTTTACACTTTTAAGTTGTATTTCAATCTCAGGGCCCTGGTCATTATTTACGGCCAAAGTGCTCGGGAAGACGAATCCAACGAACTCAAACTCTATAAGTTTCTGCCGTTTCGGTTAGGAGTTCCTATGGCCACCTCCTGATTCATCATCAGAACCCTGAACATTATCTAGCACTTAAGTGCTTGAAAAGACAAATCCAACAAACCCAAATTCGATGAGTTTCCACCGTTTCGTTTAGGAGTTCCTATGGCCACCTTCCGAATCCATCATCAGGACCCTGGGCATCATCTAGCACTAAAGTGCTCGAAAAGACAAATATAACGAACCCAAGTTCGATGCGATTCCGCCGTTTCGTTTAAGAGTTCCTATGGTCACCTCTTGACTCCATCATCAACCCAGCTAAATGGTTGGCGGTATATCCAACAACCTGTTTAGAACTCTTTTAAGGACTTCTCCACAATCACTCCCATTCTCATACAATAACATTTCGAGATGAATTAATGTAAGCAAATCGAATCCGCTGGGTGAACTTGATGGGCGAGGTTGAAGATCTCTACTTACACTTGGCCTGCGGATGAATATGGAGAAAACAAAGCTTATGTCCAATGTCCATGTTGCGCCCTACCCAGTTTCGGTTGGAAGCTCAATTCTCGAGATTGTTGACAAGTATGTCTACCTCGGACAAACGATTCAGCTGGGAAGGTCCAATTTCGAGAAAGAGGCCAATCGTCGAATCCAACTCGGCTGGGCAGCGTTTGGTAAACGACGCAACATCTTTTCGTCCAAAATACCTCAGTGCCTGAAGACTAAGGTCTACAGCCAATGTGTGTTACCAGTGATGACTTATGGTTCGGAAACGTGGCCTCGCGTGCTATGGAGAGGGCTATGCTCGGTGTTTCTTTACGAGATCGAATCAGAAATGAGGAGATCCGTAAACGAACTAAAGTCGCTGACATACTAGCCCGACGGATACAAGCTGAAGTGGCAATGGGCAGGGCACATAGTACGCAGAACTGACGGCCGATGGGGCAGCAAGGTTCTGGAGTGACATGCAATAAATAATTTGAATTCGGAGTGGAGGCCGCGTACCGGAAAACGCAGCGTGGGACGTCCACCCACAAGGTGGACCGATAACATCATAAAGGTAGCAGGAAGGCGCTGGACGCAGGTCGCTACCAACCAGGCAACATGGAAAGCATTGGGCAAGGGGCCTATGTCCAGCAGTGGACGTCCTATGGCTGAGATGATGATGATGATAATGACTTACACTTTAAAACTCAGCGATATGGTGTTTCAGAATCAGCGTCTCGTATATAAAACTCACTGGCCGACTAGCGAATTCACTTACGCATGCAGCATGACGCGTCATTGTGCAGGCACAGTGCAGGTGTGAGTGTTGTGCGATGAAGTGCGGGTTCGTTCAATCAAAACTTCGCTTGTTTTGCATCCATGTTGCATTCAATAGATATTTTGGTTTATGATTTTATGATAAAATTTTTGGGGTAAAAATATTCGAAAAAACCGGATTTCAAAGTAAAAATCCGGATTTTTTTAAAGCCTCAAAATCCGGATTTTTCAGATATTTTCGAATTTCGAATAATCCGGATTGCAATCTCTACACGGAACATTTTGTTGCCTCTGCGGTCCGTTTCATGCATTGTTTTAAATTATCAACTGCTTTATTATCAGCCTCTCTCTTCATAAAACAATATACGTCGTAAATCATTTTTCTCACTTTTCTGTGTAAAACCATTTCGTAATCAAAAACTTTTGTGCACGATGGTATTTTGAGAACGATTGTGACGTGGACACAGCTTCGAAATCAAAGGTCGACTGACGAACCAATAGCCCACCGGCATGCATGCGAAGCGAGACCCGCCCGCCCCGCGCCGCACCTCATACCACCAAATCGACCGATAAATCGCTTAATGCGCAGCTTGACCACCAGCGCTCTTTTTACATGACGCGACCTGTACTCCGTATCTTGTGGCAGCAGTAGATATTTTCTCTCCTTTTCTTACTTCTTCGATGGCTTTGGCCATTTTTGTTCTTTCGTATATTGATTTCTAGATGCCATATCTACAGTCAAACAAAATTTGTTTCTTTGTTAATTTCATTGAACCAATTTTGGACACCTAATTATGGACATTATGTACATAATTGGAAAGAGACATAATTTACAGCTGACTAAAAAAATAAGTTAATGGTAAACAAGTTGGGAAATTTAAGACTTAAAAAAAAAGTTTGATAAATGCCCTTCATGGACATTTTGTCCATATTTAGGTACAGGTTTAAAAAAATATCCAATTTTGAACAGCAATAAATTTTGGTTGAAATTATTAAGAAGGTTTAGGTTAGAATGTATAATTAAATCTATTAACAATTCAATTCAATAAAGAATGCGATATTTAACAGCAAAATTAAACCTGGCATAAAAAAAAAAAACAATAAATATACTCACTTGCATCGCGATCCTTATAGTAAATCCAGATTTTTGCTAGCGATGAACGGGCGAGTAAGAAATTGCAATGATCGGAAACGAAATGGCTGATGGCTCTCAAAAATGGTTTACATATTGTCATCTAGTATGTTGGTAGAACTGAATAAAGTTGCCATACGAAAAAAATAATTTGCCGATTTCTTAATTATGGAGGTAATTTCAAAAAATGTACATAATTGGTCCGCGTTCACAATAGGTGCATCTACCTTAATGGTTTTGTTCATTTGAAAATTCATTTTTCATAATATCGGCATCCGATGTTGTGGCTGGATATACCCGGACCCAAAACATCAATTATATGTCCATCAGTACAGACCATAAGGAATGGTTTCATTAAGTTTCTATATATACATATGCATACTGTAAGATTTTTTTATACATATAGTTGGAACTCTCAATATGTTCCATCAAAGATGACAATGATTGAGGTATTGAAAGGTTTCTTTCTACCAATTGCTGCCTATTTATGTGATTGAGGCCTCGATTTCTTGGCACAAAATTTTCTGTGAGAAGATCTCTTACTTGGTGCAGCCACTTTTCTAGGGTTCGCCTAGAAAGTTTTAACAAAGTTGCCAACCTTTCATTGGAGTCACCGGTTCTGAGTTTCATTAGGTAAGCCGCTAAAGCTACGGTTGCTTTTGGTATATCCAATAACTGAGGGACTTCAGTGAACATTTGATTGAACTGTGCTTTATTCAATCCAATCCATGTACACTGAAAAAAAATATGATTAATGAAATCAAAATATTGATCGATTTAATCAACATACTTATTAAAATACGTTCGCATAAAGCAACTTGATCCTTGCTATGAAGCCATCTTGATTAAAAAAATATCAAGAATTACTGTCAATTCAAATAACCTTTAAGTAAAAATGATCAATTCCTTGATTAAATTAATCAAGCCTAATTGTTGGCAGTGATGATAAAGTTGGTGATAGCAATCATAATCTTAATTCATTTAACCAATTTTTTTGATGTGTTTAATCGTGAAATTTGATTTATTTTACAAACAAAAATGATCAACCTAATAATTTCGATTTATATAAAACGTAACTAACGAACATGTAACTTACCAAAATATAGCCTTCAGGCTTTTGTAGAGCAGGATATGTCTTAATGTATTCCTCAATAGAACCTTCAGGGTCTTTAATTTTTCTACTTTCGAAGGTTTCATTCCATTTTGACAGTACTAAAGACCAAGGTGATGAACTGTGTTTCAGCCACGTTAGACTTTCTAGAATTCTTGTTTCATCTTCTAAACAGATGGGCTCAGAAGTTGTTGCATTTCCTTGTGAGTGAGAAGAACGAGGACTTGGCACCCTTTTGTCAAGCACTCCAAGTTTTTGGTATTTGCGCCTGGTGTTTAGTAATTGACTTACTAATTTGCCTCGTGCCTGAATTGTGTTTCCTTGGGCTGTTACACATGCAGGTATGTAGGGTAACCGGTACAATGATTGGCCCTTTAAGCAAAGTTCTCACTTTGAACTCATGTTACTCTGAATATTGACATAAAATTGACTGCTGAATTATGTAGTACCATTCCTAAAGGAATTTAGAACAATTTGAACACGATTTGGATCTACACCTTTGTGTTAATATATATTTTCACTCAATTTAAGTAAAAAACACCCAAAAGTAGTATTATTGGCCCCCTCGAGCATAGTCCATTGACCTAGCTACCTGAAGAATGACCGGGCCAATCATTGCACACGTGGTGTGCCAATGAATGTAGTGGAATGGGCAATAGTGATGGGAAACGAATAATAAAATAAAAATGTTGCTTTTTCAATTAAGGTAGTTAAATTATATTTTCAATTTTCTTACCAAAGTAAAAATAATAAAACAATCTCCAATTTAGGCCTATCGCATGGTTACTCTTACTTTAAGAAGGCTCAGTCTGTTTTTGTTTCCCAAGACATTTAGCATAGCTTATGGCGTTAGGATTCCAAGGATGTAATCCGCAAGCCCGAAACCCATTTACGATCACTAAACTTCCTTCTTTATATACTTTTCCACTACAGTGGTGAGGACCCCGCCGAAGTCTACTTTAGTAAGTTGCTTAGAAACGTTGTTTTGTCGCCATTCGAGCACAGCTTTCCGCCATCCATTTTTTATGGGTTTAAATGCTGACACGTCAGCTGGTTGCAGTATTCTAGTTGCATTTGGGTACAGCGCAACTAATACTATACCCAATTCTTTGCATTTCTGACTCAGTTCATAGTTTATATGGCTTTTATGGCCATCGACGAACAAAATCACGGGGAATTCAACATTGTTACTCACAAGGTAAGGGTGTAAAATGTTCGTCACATATTGGAAAAAAAATTCCTTTGTCATCCACCCGGTCTCTGACAGTGATATTCCCCAATGTGGAGGAACAGAATCTCTTATATCTGCACGCATCCGCTTCAGTGGGTATATTACCAAAGGTGGTGTAACTGACCCATTTGCTGAAAAAGTGAACATGACAGTTATATTTGACTTTGCTGCTGCCATATCTATTTCGTAGACATCTCTGGACCCTTTTTCCGCCAAAACTTTACCATTTTTAGGACAGAGTTGGAAGCCTGTCTCGTCTCCATTGAACATTCTATTTGGATCATCAAGGATTTTAAGCTCTTCATCAGTAAGTGTATTTTCTATTTGTTTGAACCACTTTCTAATGTTTTCTTCCGAAACGTTAGCACTTGCTGAGGTAGCTGCTTCGGCAGTTCTTACGGCGATTTCGGGATGTCTTTTTAAGGCGATAGGTNCTGCATAGCTAATGAAAATTCAGCCTTCTAGTTTTATCCACAACGAAGTTACAGGCGGTCGAAAATGGCCTGAATCGAGAAAAGGATGGTACGGCCGTGCCGCTTTTTTGCTCGACTTGGTGGGGGCACTGCCGTGCCCCCAGATATGTTATTCTAATGTTTAAATAATAATACTGTAAATCTCTCAAAAATCTGTCCTTTCACACATATCTAACCCGTATTCATTTTACGTGTCTCTCTACACTTAGTATAATTGGTACATATCATTGTGTCATGTGTTTATTACAATTATAAATGAAGAAAATCCAAGCGCGTTATTTAACGCGTGAGCATGTTTATTGAAGCTCGACGTATTATACGAGTAATACTGTACGGACGACAGCACATCGGCGTACACACTTTGCCATCGTATGTAGTCGCAATAGGGGTCATTTTATAATAAAAATGTATGTCCTTTCGACAGTACAGCGCGTTCGCCGCGACCTACTACGGCGTGTGCGCAGGACGCATCTGTGCGTGTCAGGGCTGCTCCTTCGTGCGAGCAGAATGCGAGCTCTTGAACTACTTCTGTTGTCTGTGCACAATAATTAATCATGCTACTACATTGACGTTACAACTTACCTACTCTTATTTGATATATCCAGCAGAATTATGAAATATATAATGTGTACAATAATTGTAATTAATAGTACCTACTAATCGTCGATAAAGGTAGACGAGAGACAATAGACTTAAAATAAACAATCAAGATGGATGTTACCAATAATGTCGTTAACCTTTATGTTGCAAAAAATTAAGTGAACAAAAAAAAATATAAAAGCTGTTGAAAAAGGTACTCCGTTTACCAGATATGTGTATTTTGCAAAATAAATGAATTTTATGAAAAATTTTTTTAAAGATACATACGAGATAGTATCAGCACGAGGCGGCCTAACCTGCCCTCGCACCGCACGCGTCGCGAGTGCGTCTCGTAAGATACGCACTCAACTTTTGTGCCAGTTCCATCGACAATATTTTTATTACAGACTATTTTTGGAAAATACTTTAACTGACGTGACTGAATGCACTTGTTGAACTTTTGAATTTATTCTGGTTTCCCTCACAAACTCAATATTTTAACAGTGTATTGCGACTTTTGCCACTCTGACTATTGTGCAATATAAATTACTAGTATTTTTTGGTAGGTTTTTTAGGTTTTAGTACAAATTCGAAGAAAAATAAGCATGTGCCTAGTTAATAAAATAGTGCAATCAGTTTCCTCATCATTTAGTCTCCATTGCAGCAGCATGATCCTCTTTAGTTTACCATGGTCTTCAAAGGCAAATGTATGATTGCCTTTTGAACACATATAAATAAATATTAAAATATCACCACAATAATTATTATGTTTTTGAAGTAAACTTTTCCCTTTAGAATATAAAAATGCATTTGTGCATCGTTGCGTAAGCTTAGTCGAACATTCCGAGAATGCAGCGTCGGGTCCTGTGCTTTAACCGCGCCGCGCCGCTTGATTGCAGCCGCTGCTGACTCCAGTCTGCGCTGCGTAGTCAGCCGTGTTGTTGTGTTATGTAATGACTTTGAAACTCTACTTTCAGAAACACTTAGTACCACTATTGGAAGTGTACCTACTTTAAACCGACTGTAGAGTAAGTTCAAATAGAAATCGACTTTGACGATACAAATTTTTAAGTTCCAATAGAAGTAGAGTTTTCATTAAAGGCGTTTAGAATTTTTTTTAATCAATATAAAGTGTCAATCACGGATCTGATCTGTTGATGACCCTTCTAAATTTTTATTTTACTGATGAAACATTAAAATGTTTTTTTTTTGTATTATTATCGCGATAATTATACAAGCGTTCCGCGAAAACCTGAAGTGACCTCTGAAGGACGCTCGAGCGCAGCGGAGTGGCGCCGAGCCAGACTCCGTACACTAGAGATGAGACGTATTTACTAGAACAGATCCACACACTAGGTATTTTACAGTACTAAGTGGCACCTATTCCAATTTTTAAAATACTTGATCCACTTAGTATTTTTTAAATTACACGATTTCCGACCCTACCATCAAAGTAATAGAGGTTATTATTGCATAATACGTAGTCGTGTATTACGTGCACCGCGTATTTCTCGCTAAGCTTATGTGCGAACGTAGAGATTCACTCCGTCTCTGTCTGACAAACAAATTTGAGCGCAGGCAGGTGTGAGATAGGAATAGGTGTTTGATGTATTACGTAATTTAAACTCTATTTGTACACAGGTAAGGTTTTGAATATTTTAATTTTTGTTCTCTCTCATCCAGCTCACTCCTTGTTGACTAGCCGGTAAAAAACCAGTTTTTATTCTTCCGACAGGTTTGTTTTGGTTTGTTGTCACGCGTCCGTGATAATTGCATAATTTGTATTGAAATAGTAATTTGATAATTAGATTAAATTGGAATAGTTTTCGAGTGTTGATTAGATAGAATTTAACTCCTGTTTCTGAGAAGTTACCCGCTAAAATACCGGTGGTGACAAAAGTTCCCAGAAATTTTTGGTAGTAGATGACCCATGGGGAGTTTTGTCACCAAGATTTTTTGTCTGTGTTTCTTTGTCAATTTGGGCGTGTTCCTTTACATGTATGGAGATTTGCTATTTTTGACATCAACGTTGATAAATTTAGCGATATCTGTGATATTTCTTTAATCTGTAAGCGTTTTGTGAGCGATGTGAAAAAATGTTGAAATGGAACACTCTCAGTTTGACATGAGCCGTCACACGTCCGATTTTTGAAGTGTTTATTTTTTATAGAAGAAACATTCTATTCTACAAGTTATTCAATTTCAAATTGCATTATTAATACTACGGTTGTATCTTTTCAAAGAAAATTGTATTTTAAAGTCATAATACGTGGATTAGTCCGCACTCCGCACTAGTCGCGTCAAGTATGGTAAATTACTACGTACTAAGTGGAACAGGTATTTGGATCACGTATTAATAAATACTTAGAATAGGTGCACCTAGTATCAAATTTACCTAGTATAACCCATCTCTACCGTACACAACTTATTTACGAATTTATTTTTACGCCCATATTTGAAGCACGCTCTCACTTATAGCCACAAAACAGTGCGCACTCACAACACGAGGAGCTGAGCTGCCACACGATAAAAAATCAACAAGTTACAATACAACTGTTCATGTCAATGAAATTCTTTCAGTTTTACATTATCTTTAGATTAGGTGGAAGAAAGACAAATTATTGTGAGTAAGGTTTAAGGTATTTATCAACTTTAAGCTATTTGTAGGTACTTTAATTTTCTTCCATTAATTTCTAGAACCATTAATACGCCCACTAATGGAACTAATCGTACCCAAACCGATTAATTCCTTCGTCGCGTGCGCGCGTAGGTAATCGCGAGTGTCAGCCGCAGCGGTGTTGCGGAATTGGCTCGTCTTTGAAACCCGCTTCGAGACTCTACCCAGCAGAACGATTTCGATATATCGGTATTATCCTTCTCTGTCACCTTTGCTAGTTCTCGAGGTGAGAAAGGGAAACAAAAAAGTTAATACATAGAACTCAGTTTGCGATTAGAGCCTCACAAGATTGTGTTTGTGTGCGGCCCGAAGTCGGGCTTGAACGCATTTCACTTGTTTTGACAATTTAAATAACTATTTCTGCAAATAAATCTCGGAAGGATATTCGAATAAACACCGCTTATTTACAACGTTCATAGTTACCTAGACATTATTACTGATTTATTATAGCAGTTATAAAACACAGAATTAGTAGGTATCTACATTGTGATACCTATTTATTCTTCTTTATTCTCTTGTCTTGTGAAATGTTTTAAAAACAATAGTAGGTACTTCTATGTTTTAAACTTTCATGGTCACTAACAAAATATCGGGAAACTTGAAATCAAGGTACCTACATGGTAACAATCTCGTCAATAATAATTAATAGTAGGTACTTCTACTCTAGCCCCACACTAATTCGCGTACATAATGAAGCTCAAAGTACTAAGCTCAAAAAAACAATATTCAAAATCGTGAAAATGTTGACGGCGAAATGAATGTGATTCAAGTGACACTCGGCGCATTACAAATGTGTAATAACTCCCGCGAGCGCGAGCGGCGCAGACGAGTGAATCATGGGCGCGCGCGCAGCCGCGACACTTCGTCAGCTATTTTCGATGCGGAGATTGCATTTCCTAAATATATCGCGCCCCTCCCCGCGGCCGCTGCACTTATTAACACCAAATATAATGACGTTAGACGGGTTGCCCCGGTCGCGATCGTTCGGTCTTCGGTCGGTCGTTGTAAGGTTAAGAATAATCTTCTTCTTTTTAGTGGAATTTTTATATACATTTTTATTACGTATTAATTACTAATCATACAGTGTGCCACCTTGTGAATGGTTAGCGTAACACGATGAAAAAATCCCCATAATAGGAAACAATAACAAAGATTTAATTTAAACTCTTAATACGAGTAGTACCTACTCGTATGTATACCCTTTTCATGACTACGATTGGCTGCTGCTGAGAAGCGATTAGTTTGAAAAGCTTACTATCGGACTATATAAAATATAATAAATATGTCAAAGTTTGTGTGGATGGATATTTTTCATTCCTTCACGCAAAAACTTCTGAAAGGATTTTGATGAAATTTGGTGTAGCGATAGTTTATGATCCAGGTAAAAATAATACTATCCCAACTAATATAATTATAAATGCGAAAGTAACTCTGTCTGTCTGTCTGTCTGTCTGTCTGTCTGTCTGTCTGTTACGCTTTCCCGCTTAAACCTCGCAACCGATTTTGATGAAATTTGGCATAGAGATAGTTTGAGTCCCGGGAAAGAACATAGGATAGTTTTTATCCCGGTTTTTGAAACAGGGACGCGCGCGATAAAGTTTTTCTGTGACAGACAAAATTCCACGCGGGCGAAGCCGCGGGCGGAAAGCTAGTAGTTTATACATATAATTCTGTTTTTAAAAGGGG